TCTCCAGCCTGAAGCACCACCCCTAGGCAATCTCCAGGAAGTTCATGCCTTTGGACCAGTGGCTGTACTTTGATGCCCTCGACTGTCTTCCAGAAGATGGGGATCTACTTCACAATCCTGAGGACTATACCCCGGTGAGAGCTTGGGGTGGGATTGCAAACCTTGTCCAAAATCAGGGCCAGGGAAGAAACATGGGGAATGGTCCTAAGGTCCTGATGCAGAAAACTCTGTGTAAGAAGGAGATTCAAGCCAGTACTCATCAATGACCTCATCTGCGTCCCTAGAGAGACTGCCGCTATGATGGGCAAATTGCAGTGTTTGGGGCTGGTTTTCAGGAGAAACTGAGCTGCCAGCGCTACCTGCTGGTGAGTTGTGAGGTGAGGTAGGGAGTGCCTTTGGGAGGGCTGGACAAGGCCCTCTGGCTAAGGCTGCTCCTGCCAACAGGTGGGTGCTGGTGCCATTGGTTGTGAACTGCTCAAAGCCTTTGCCCTAATGGGCCTTGGGGCTGGAGGAAGTGGAGCATTGACTGTTGCCGACATGGACCATGTAGAATACTCCAACCTCAGCCGTCAGTTCCTCTTCAGGGCCCAGGATATTGGTGTGAGTGCTGGGCCTCTCCACACCCTTGTCCCAAAGCGACCTCTCACATAGCCTCCCACCCAATATCTTCCTTCTTCCTAGAGGCCCAAGGCAGAGGTGGCTGCAGCAGCTGCTCAGGTTCTGAACCCAGACTTAAAGGTAACCGCACTTACCCACCCACTGAATCCCACTACAGAACACATCTATGGGGACCACTTCTTCTCCCAGGTGGATGGCGTGGCTGCTGCCCTGGATAGTTTCCAGGCCCGTGAGTGCTTAATTTTGCAGCTCAGCCCCTTACCTAAGACTGTGCCACATCCACTTCTGAGCTTCTGCTCCCTTCCTAGGGCACTATGTAGCTGCTCGCTGCACCCACTATCTGAAGCCACTACTGGAGGCAGGTACACAAGGTACCTGGGGCAGTGCTTCAGTGTTCATGCCACATGTGACTGAGGGCTACAGCGCCCCTGCTTCAGCTGCAGCTTCTGAGGATGCCTCCCACCCTGTCTGTACTGTGCGGTACTTCCCCACCACAGTCGAGCATACTCTGAAGGTGGGAAGCACCTGAAGACACCCCCCCCACCCAGGTCAGCCCTAAGCTTGCAGACATCTTCTCCACCTGATACCTCATTATTCCTCCCTCCTCCACAGTGGGCTCGAGATGAGTTTGAGGGACTCTTCCGACTGTCTGCAGAGACCATCAATCGCTACCAACAGTAAGGCCATTGACAGAGGTAGATGGGAGTCCAGGGCTCCCTGCACAAGAGTCTATGGGGCTGGCCTGGTGTGGTGTCTCACGCCTGTAATCCCAGCACTCTGGGAGGCTGAGGCAAGTGGATTGCCTGAGTTCACAGGTACGAGACCAGCCTGAGCCAGAGCAAGATCCCATCTCTAAAAATAGCCAGGTGTTGTGCTGGGCGCCTGTAGTCCCAGCTACTCGGGAGGCTAAGGGGAGAGAATCGCTTGAGCCCAAGGGTTAGAGGTTGTTGTGAGCTATGACACCATAGCACTCTTCTAAGGGTGACAAAATGAGACTCTGTCTCAAAAAAAAAGTCTATGAGACTTAGGCCAGGCCAGTAGCTCATGCCTATAATCCTAATACTCTGGGAGGCTGAGGTGGGTGGGTAAATTGCTTGAATTCAGGAGTTCAAGACCAGCCTGAGCGAGAGTGGGACTACATTTCTACTAAAACTAGAAAAACTGAGGCAAGAGGATTGTTTGAGCCCAAGAGTTGGAGGTTGCTGTGAGCTATGATGATTCCATGGCACATGGCACTCTACCCAGGGTGACAGTGTGAGACTTTGTCTCAAAATAGAAAAAAGAAAAAAAATAGAGTCCATGGGGCCTAGTCTCAAACTTCTTCCTCTCTTTGCAGGGGATGCACTTCCCTGACAGATATGAATGAGCCACAGACATTGATCTTACTGAAGCCAGTGCTGGGAGTCCTGAGAGCACGTCCACAGAGCTGGCAAGACTGTGTGGTATGGGCTTTTGGCCACTGGCAACTACGATTCCATTATGGCATCAAACAGCTCCTGAGACACTTTCCACCTGATAAAGTAAGTCGCTAGGGTTTGAGAAGCTGAGGGCTCAGGAGGAACCACAGAGCCCAGCAGCCTCTGTTTCCTTAGGTGCTTGAGGATGGAACTCCCTTCTGGTTTGGTCTCAAACAATGTCCCCACCCCCTGGAGTTTGACATCAGCCAAGTGAGTGAGTTCCCCGGGGAGCACCAAGAGCATTAGGAGGTATCTGCAGAGATGCACAGATGCTGAGAGAGAGCCATGTTTCTGCACATGTGGGTGTTCACATGTAAGGCAGAAGCAGGCACTCAAACAGATCCACAGACAGACAGTGACCGTCACCCCATGCATCTGTACATGCTCACTGACATACATGCATCTGTCCCTGCTCTTGGTTTGGCTGCAGGACACACACCTTCTCTATGTGCTGGCGGCTGCCAACCTATATGCCCAGATGCATGGGCTGCCTGGCTCACAGGACCAGACGGCCCTCAGGGGGATGCTGAAGCTGCTGCCACAGCCTGACTCCCAGCACCTGGCCTCTATCTTCACTAGTAACCTAGAGCTGGCTTTGGCTTCTGCAGAGTCTGGTGAGACCCCTGGCCCTAGTCCTACATGCTGCTAATCAAAGGCCTGTTCTTACCTTATCCTTAGCCTGTGGTGCTGAAGGAAAATAGGGCCTGGAAGACCTTCAGCCAATCAGCTACCGCTCAGTCCCTCTGACCTTGCTTCTTAGTAGGTTTAGGCCCATCATCTGGTCCCTCAGTAGGCTTTTTCTCTCCTGTCTATACCAAGTCTCAGTGCTCTTGGGAGATGCTCAGCAAAATAAGCAAATAAAGGCTTGGCACCTGTGGCTCAAGCGGCTAAGGCGCCAGCCACATACACCTAAGGTGGCGGGTTCGAATCCCCAGCCGGGGCCCTCCAAACAACAATGATGGCTGCAACCAAAAAATGGCCAGGCGCTGTGGCGGGCGCCTGTAGTCCCAGCTACTTGGGAGACTGAGGCAGGAGACTCGCTTGAGCCCAGGAGTTGGAGGTTGCTATGAGCGTGATGCCATAGCACTCTACCCAGGGGGATAGCTTGAGGCTCCGTCTCAAAAAAAAAAAAAAAAAAAAAAAAAAAGCAAATAAATAATAAAATCCACTGGGCTCTAGGGAGTAGATAGCTATGGCCCCCAGACAGAGTCACATATATGTACATGCATGTGTGTACACCCAGGTGCACATGTGGGGGTAAAGACTGAGATTGCTAGGGAGACAGAAGCATTAATTAAGGGGGCTTCTTGATTTGATCCAGGAGTATTAAGTGGGGTGGGTGGAGTGGCCCCACTCCTTGCAGTCTGAGAGGCTGAGGATCACTTGAGCTCAGGAGTTTGAGATCAGCCTGAACAACAGCGAGACTCCATCCTTACTAAAAATGGAAAACATTACCCAGGCATGGTGGCCCACACCTGTAGTCTCAGCTACTTGGGAGCCTGAGGTTGGAAGATCCCTTGAGCCCAGGAGTTTAAGGTTGTAGTGAGCTATGATGATTCACTGCACTCTAACTGGGGCAACAGAGGGAGGCTCTATCTCTAAATAAATAAATAAATACATAAAAGTAGTAAGTGATAGTATTGGCAGAAATCAAGAATAGGGGCCAGGTGCAGTGGCTCACACCTGTAATCCTAGCACTCTGAAAGCCCAAGGCAAGTGGATTGCTTGAGTTCACAAGTTTGAGAACAGCCTGAGCAAAAGCAAGACCCTGTCTCTACTAAAAACAGAAAAACTGAGACAAAAGAATTGCTTGAGCCCGAGTTGGAAGTTGCTGTGAGCAATGAAACCACGACACTCTACCCAGTGGGACAACTTGAGACTCTGTCTCAAGAAAAAAAAAAAGAAAGAAAGAAAGAAAAAGAAATCAAGAATATGTAATAGGCTCCTGAAAGAATACAGGAGACAGGGCCTAAGAACTGTCCCAATATGCCTTCTCCTCGGACAGGCCCTGAGCAACTGAAGGAGCTGCACAATGTCCTGGAAGTCTGGAGCATGGGCTCTCTCCTGAAGCCTCTGATATTTGAAAAGGTGAGGCTAGGGCTGAGGTGGGTGGATTTCCTGAGCTCACAGATTGGAGACCAGCCTGAGCCAGAATGAGACCCCACCTCTAAAAATAGCCAGGCACTGCGGTGGGTGCCTGTAGTCCCAGCTGCTCGGGAGGCTGAGGCAAGAGACTCACTTGAGCCCAAGAGTTTGAGGTTGCTATGAACTATGACGCCATGCCACTCTACTGAGGGTGACAAAGTGAGACTCTGTCTCCAAGAAAATAAAATAAAATAATAACTGGACATTGTGGCAGGAGCCTGTAGCACCAGCTACTCAGGAGGCTGAGGCAAGAGAATCTCTTGAGCCCAAGAGTTTGAGGTTGCTGTGAGCCATAACACCATGGCACTCTACCAAGGGTGACAAAGTAAAACTCTGTCTAAAAAAAAACAAAAAAGAGAAGAAGGCAGCGCGCCCATAGCTCAGCGGGTAGGGTGTTGGCCACATACACCCAGGCTGGCCAGTTCAAACCCAGCCTGGGCCAGCTAAACAATAATGACAACTGCAACAAAAAAATAGCCAGGCATTGTGGCAGGTGCCTGTAGTCCCAGCTACTTGGGTGGCTGAGGCAAGAGAATCACTTAAGCCCAAGAGTTAGAGGTTGGGTGGTGCCTGTGGCTCAAGGAGTAGGGCGCCGGCCCCACATGCTGGAGGTGGCAGGTTCAAACCCAGCTCTGGCCAAAAACTGCAAAAAAAATAAATAAATAAAATAAGAGTTAGAGGTTGCTGGCAGCAGTGACATCACAGCACTCTACCATGGATGACAAAGTGACACTCTGTCTCAAAAAAAAAAGGAAAAAGGAAATAAAGAAAAGAAAAAGTGAGAGCCCAAGTGGGAGTAAGGGGTGTGGAATTTGTGGGGGAAAGTGAGAAGCTTAGAGGGAGTTTGGAGCTTTGGAGCTCTTGGGCTTGAGTTCTCCATCAGGGCCCTGGAAGCAGCTCTCCTTCCCTGAACTTCAGCTTCACCATCTGCTAAGTGAGGAGATGGTGAGCACTCATCTCACAGGACTATGTGAAGACCAGTGCACTAGCACACTGTTGGCACAGTGAGAGGCATTGTTGCAGTGTTAACACTACTGTACCTTGAGTCTCACAGGATAATGATAGCAATTTCCATATGGACTTTGTGACAGCAGCAGCCAGCCTGCGATCTCAGAACTATGGACTCTCATCAGTCAACCGTGCCCAGGTAACCCTGCCCTTTGGGGCTCAGGCCTAGAGGTGAAGGCTGAATCCTTGCTCTGCATCTTAAGCCTAGACCAAAGTCCCTGTCTTTGGCAGTGCAAGAGAATCGTGGGCCAGATTATTCCAGCCATTGCCACCACTACAACAGCTGTGGCAGGCCTGGTGTGCCTGGAGCTGTATAAGGTGGTAGATAAGCCACGGCCTCTTGGTGCCTTTCGCCACAGCTACCTGCACCTGGCTGGAAACTACTTCAGTCGCTCGGTGCCTTTAGCCCCAGCCACCCACACGGTGAGTCCTTGACACCCCACCCCTATGCCCACTAGGCCTGAGTTTCTCCTGAGCCTACCCAAATAGGCTCCACTACAGCTGTGGGTTCTTACCAGGACCCTGACTATGTGGGAGTCCTCAAGACTCTCTCCAGCCCCCTTCCTCCTATGAAGCCAGGCTGCAACATGTCAGATACAGGAAGCAGCCGTCAGCCATCCCACCCTCCAACCCTTTATAGCCCAGGGTCTGGAGGAGCTGCCTTTAACTCATTAGTGGAGCCAAACATCCCCCACAGCCCCCTCCTTCCCAGAAGTACCCCTGAGGGGGGAGTGGCAAGGAGGGGGACTATGACCCCAGCCCGAGAAAAAGTCTAGCATACCCCTTAGACAGTAGGCTAGTCACCAGGGGTACGGATCTGCAGCCCTGTGGGAGTCTATGCATTCATATCACAGATATGAGTGCACTAGGTCTGGACATCCCTGGTGTGTGGGCATGGAGGGAGCAAGCTCACACATATGTGTGCCAGATGGGAGTGCAGGGCTGTTCTTCAATGTGGGTACGCATGGATGTGCATGTGGGTACACATGTGTGTGTTCCTGTGAGTACAGGGCCATGAGGCCTCCAGTGGTGTGCTCAGGCTCTACTGTAGTTGGCATTTCCTTGGGGCACAGGAGAGGGGGTAGAGGGAATGCCCTCACCAGGGGAAAGGGCAGAGGTCATGGGCCAACACTGCTATTTTGCTGAGCAACCCTGGGGACCCTTCAGACATAGCACACAGAACCCCTTTGTGAGGCACCCCACCTCTAACTAGCACACAGACTTCCTTTGTCCTTGGAGTGGAGGGGGAGGAGGAGGAGCCCCCATCTTGCCTCTTGCCTAGTTTCAGCTTGACCCCAGTGTGTTTTCCAGGAGACTGGCAGGGCTTCCTTGTCCTGGTCTCTGGATGCCTGACAATCACTCTTCTGTCCTCAGCTCTAGGCACCAGAACTTTAAGATTTTTGAAATAGGGAAGGAAAGAGCTATTAGGAAGGGGAGGCCTCTATGGACTGTGACCCTGCTGGGGTCTCTGAGCCAGCAGAGCTCTAGTGATCACTGTGCGTTTTGCCCCTGAGTCCCTATGAGTAGTCCAAGGCGCTGGCAGGATGTGGGGATAGGATGTGGCTTCCATCTTCCAGTCTTGTATCTGAGGGACAAGCAGCTTTATCAGAGACTGCAGGGGCTCTGCTCTGGCTTCCTCAGGAAGCACCACCTCCTCGGCCTTCCCCCACACAATTGGCCAGTGTGATCTAGCATTTGTTTCCCTTGTGCAGGGCCCCACAGCCCCATTTCCTGTGCTGGCCCCAGCATGGGCAGGGAGAGAGCTGAGATTCTGGGCCTAGATCCCACCTTCCACCTTCCCACCCTCTGGCTCCTGCTTCCTGCTTCTAGTCCAGCTCTTCCCCTAGGAAAGGGTACTAGTAACTGGGTTAGATGTTGGGGGTATGTGTAAGAATCCTTCCCCATCCTTCTTCCCATTCCCCTCTCTCCAGTTCCATCACTTGAAGTGGACCTGTTGGGACCGCCTGAAGGTTCCTGCTGGGCAGCCTGAAAGGACCCTAGAGTCGCTGCTGGGCCATCTCCAGGTGTGCTCTGTACCTCCCTTGCCCCCAGTCTCAGCCCAGCCTGCTGGCATCTAACCTGTCTTTCTTTAGGAGGAACATGGGCTGAGGGTGAGGATGCTGTTGCATGGCCCTGCCCTGCTCTATTCAACAGGATGGTC